GTTAGCATCAGTCATGTTGATGGAAGGCAAAAGAAATTCTCAAACTATTAAAAGAGAGCGGTTTTGTTTTGAAGGCGTTAAAATTAACAAACCATTCCTTGCCTCATTTAACAACAGACTGTAGAACATTTTTGAGCTCAGATGCCAATTTGATCTTTGATTTGAACCATTAATACCAGGAGTAAATTGTTATGTCATCAGCATAGATACCGAGTTGAGAAATGATATCAGGAATGTCGTTGATGAAAATTAGGAACAACGTAGATTCAAAGATAAAGCTCTGGGTACACCGGAATTAAGGCAAAAAGATCTAAAAGAATGGCCGTTCAAGACAACTATCATTTTTCGATTTGATAAGAATCAAATCAAATATTCGTCGAAAAATACCAGAACCTTTCAACTTGCGAACAATACCAGCGTGCCAAACCCTATAAAATGCCTTCGAGATATCTAAAGTAACAGCCCAAGTTTCCTCAGACTTATCTAAAGTATGATATATTCTTTCAGAAATTACTGTCATTATATCAGCAGTTGACTTAGAGAAGCGAAAGAAATATTGCTTATCTAAAAGAAGATGCTGTGATGTGAAATGTTTAACCAATTCAGAGTTGATAGAACCTCTAGTACTTTGCCAAAAAGTGGTAAGAAGCTAATAAGGCTATAGTTATAAGGATCAGACGGTTCACCTAAGTTCTTAAAGACTGGAACTATAAAAGAAGATTTACAACAAACAGAAAAGCAAGATATTTAGCATTTTATCTAAGTACTAATTTGAGAATTTCCAGTAAACACCAACCTTTTAGTTATTTTAACGAAATGAAGAGATTGTATAAACGATTTTTATTTCAGAATGCTTTACACGTGTAAATCTATATCTGTGAGCATCCAATATTAGAGAAAGCTTGTAAATAAACAAAAATCCCATTCTGCAAACTCATTCGTGATAAATTTGTAATACTTATTCATAAAAAACTGTTCTACACTATACTCAATTCGCATAAGAAAAAATAAGAATAAAGAAAATTCGGGAACAAAAACTATTTATTGCCAAAGAAAATCGTGTAGCATCCAAAATTAGAAAACAAAATTGTAAATACACATGTAGATTAAATTAATTTTATTGACTCAATATTGTTATAGAATATTAATGAGTACAAGCCATAATTTAAAAACAAAATGAAAACCAGATAAAAATCATACACACATACACAAATATATATATATATATATTTTGTGTGTGTGTGTGTGTGTGTGTGTGTGTGTGTGTGTTTAGGCAGCATATCTTCATCAGGCATGTTTCATTAAATAATATAGACAAATATTATTATAAATTTCAACATCAAGAACCTAATTAGAGAACTAGAAAGGATTATTATGAAAATAAATAGACATAATATGTCTATATTATTTAATGAAATATTTATATATATATATATATATGTGTGTGTGTGTGTGTGTGTGTTAATTTTTTATATTGGAAGAATGTTCAGCATCGGTGATAGAGATTTTATAAATATAGAAAATGTGGCACCAACCTGGCCTGAAGCTCTTGACCCAGACACGTTTGTAACAAAAAACATCTGAAAGATTAAAAGACTTAAGGAAGAATTAAAACTATGCAGACAACAGCACAATTAAAGTCGGTGATAATATTGAGGAGTTTTACTGTCATTTGATTCACAACGATGGCCATTAGAAACCTGTGATGATGAAGTACAAATTATTAACTTATTTCAAGCATCACTTCAATAGACAGTTATAATTGAACCTACCTAATCCGGTATTGGTGATAATAATTCAAAGTGAATTTTATATGGCTGTATATTTTATTTATAGAGTAGCAACCTGACAACCTAAAAGCTTCAATTTTTATCGGTGATAGATTAAAAACGCTCATTGTCTCAAAGAATAATTTTACTTTAAATAAGAAATCTTAATCTCCTGATCAAATTCACGAAATACATAGTATAAATGAAAGTTACTCTTTTCCAAATTTGTATATTAACTGGATTTTAAATTGGGAGGCTTGTACAGAATTGTCTTTACGCTATTTTCTTAGACTACCTACGTATGTGTTTCTGTGTGAGAGAAACAAAATTTCATATCCTGCTATAAAATATATATAGATTTCATAGTGGCATTGCCAATAAAGTTTATTTTCTTGGCCCAAACAATTAATATTTGTTAGATTTGAACGAATTTTTATTCAAGTTCTCAAAGTGTGATGTTATTTTCTGAACCTAATATACGAGATGCAATCCAAAAATTCATGGAATTTGATCAGGAAAAATTACTCATCTTAGCATCTAGTTTCTGCTGTCTCCTTTGAAATAGTACTTTGAATGAAACGATAGAAACTAGGTATTATGGTAAAGATTTGCGGTAAAATTTCGTACTTCATTCTGTTTAGTTGTTCTGTTTCCATTTTTGATATATGTTATTTTACATTCTTGTTCTAAATAAGCTCTGCTTGCAGATTTCGATTTGCAATAAAGATCCTTATATTACCAGATAATATTTTTTTTTTTTTTTTTTTTTTGCTTTATTTTTCAGTTGGTTTCAATGTGAAGAGGGTCAGTCGAGTATCGAAGCGTTCCATTCTTGCAATTTGCGATATGATACACACATACACGAACCGGTCATGTACAGATTTCAACCAATATGGCTGCTTTTGTGGCATCGGTTCTCATGGTTCAAAACCGCTGGACGCCATAGATAGGTAAGTACGACCCTCAAGTGAGGGAAGCGAAAAATAGTTCATTTATTGTAAATATGACGTTGTATAACGGCCAGTGATTTTCTGTCATAGTGGTGGTAGAATTAGGAAACAACACAACTCACTATTCTCAAAGTTGATGGCAATACCCGGGCATACAATGGTAAGTGAAAGAAATAAGGTTTTTTCTTAATGATCTGATCACTTCCAACAGTGTAGATTGCAGTACCTACCATTTCAAAGCAAGGGGTACCCCAGTGATAAGGAAGATTGGCCTGCTTGCCGGCCGCTTTTATACATGTGATCTTTGGCCAAATTCTCCTCACTATCTTGTAGCGTGTACTTAGTTGGTCCTTTTACGTATTGGAAATACGTGCTTTCATCACGCTAGGTAGGATTCTCTAGCGGTCGCATAGCGTTAGTGAATATGCTGAAATTATTCTGCACCTACAGGTATCAGAAGTCACTTATTTTTAATGTGTTTTCCTCCTGTTCACTTTTCACACTGCAACAACAAAAGCAACACAAAGATTGAATACAGTAATCCGAACTGGACGACAGATTTCAGAACAAAATTTGATGACAAGTCAAAGTAAAAATCAACCAAAACAAAAGATCACTTTCTGTCTGAATTTCTGGGATGAGGATTTATCATCATTTACATTAATTATATTCGGACTATTGTCAACATCTGTGTTTTCGTTATCACAACGTTTCGGCAGTTTTGCTCTTCAGCCTTCCTCGGGTGTATATCGATCTAGGTAACCTACAAGGAACTGAAGCCTTTATTTATTCTACAGAGGTAGAGTCATCTCTTTCACTGATAATGTCTAGGGATATTGTGTAGTTCTTATTTTTAGTATTGCACAGATATTGCCCGCCCGTTTCCACTGATTCCAAGTACACATTACCTGGGATTGAACTCTAAATCAATATGTCACCAAATTCAAGAACCAACGCTTTAATCCACTAGACTATTGTCCCGTGTGAATCTACAATGGCCGAAACGTTGTAATAACAACAACAAAGATGAAGACAATAGTCTGAATATAAATAGTGTAAACAAAAAATTACTATCCGTAATAAAAACAAGATCAGGAATAATTTCAGCAGCTGATATAACTTAGAAAATTTAATGACTTTTATCAAAATTATTTGGAGTATCTGCCTTTTGAAAGTAAAAAAATAGTTTACTCCTATGTATTTTAAGATGAAGTTAAAACTCACACAACAAATTTCTTCTATATGCTGTGTCCCTTCGAGACGTTGGCGATCATAGCTCTCCACAATTTCCTGTCATTTGTAGTTCTTAACAATTTTTTTTTTGCTATCTTTCCTAAATCCTGATCTATCATCCGTTTACACCAGCTTATCAAGTAGATTATTCGCTGTTTCCCTCGTCCTTCTTGTTTTCACTATGTCCTGTAAGTATCAAATTTTCCAAGTCCTCTTTCCTCATTGTCTACCATAGAAATTTCAGGTGTCTCTTTCTCCTTTTTGTTTCAATTTTTTCTAAAACTTCATCATTGCTCACATGTCCGGTCCATGGTATTCTTAGTATCCTTCTGCAAAACCATATTTATGTTGCTTTACGTGTCTTCTTCACCTGCGAGGAGATTTTTCAGTATTCACTACCATATAGGAGGAATGACATTACCATTCCTGCGCGAGACACCAGTAATTAGGGAAAAACATCTAAATTTATTTTTAAATTTAAGTTTCTGATATCAACGAGAAAACTGATTGACTCTTCAATGGAAACCGAATGGTGTGGACACACACACACATACATACATACATATATATATATATATATATATATATATATATATATATTCCTCTCACACTATTAACTCGAGAAAGTCAAGGTAAGAAGGTACTTTGAATTATAAAAATAATAATAGTATTGTTTAGAATTGTATTTTCTTTGTAAGTAACATGGTACCGTCGTGTTTTCTATAAATTTGCACAACCAACAGTAATATTTAGTCTATTTATTAATCAATGTTGTTTTTTTGATTGATGGGTACGTTTTCTATGGCTTATCAACTCTCTTTCAGTTTATTTAAAGCCAGAAGATATTTTTATATTGTAAGAATTTGGGGGGAAATAATAATGGTTTAGTGATACTAATTAACACATATGTAGGAGAGAAGAAGTGAATTCAAACCTTTCCAAGGGTATTTGCGATTAAGTGAATATAACGAACCCAACCAGAATTGGAACTCAGCTCTCCGAATGACATTACCGAGCTATTATCTATTATACTACTCGCACATCCAAGCTTACAGTGCCTGATATTCACAAGAGTTTACCCATCTAGATACTGTAGAGGCTCTATGTTGCTTACCTTCGGTGATCGTACGGAAACCGGTGTTTCAGCCTTTGAATTTAAAATAATAATAATAATAATGTTGATTAAAATCTTATTTTCTTTGGATATGACGTGATACTGTCATGCTTTGTATAAATTTACATAAAAACAGTAATGTTTAGTCTATGTATTAACCAATGGTGTAAGTTAAACACTTGTGTCATAATTAAAGAGTGTATTACCAAAACATGTGATGCAAAAACATTAATACGTAAAACCCAGTCAAAATAGCTATCTTAGCCAATGTAAACATAGTCGTACATCTGCAAGAACTTAAAACTTAATTTTTAATGTCTCCTGTTTTCAATTTTATGATACTTTTTCTTTGCCATGTTAGGAGAGCGTATATACGAAAAGAACTTTGAAGATCTTATTTCCTCCCAATTTGAATCTTTCTACCAATCGATGAGCAAAGTTCAGATTCCAGCCTAGCCTTTGAGCTCACTTTCCCACTCAAGCTTCTTGTAAAAGCAAGAATTCTTCTAGTAGGATAAACTGAGCTCTCTAGCTTTGAATGGCGACCACTCTGAATTTCAAACCGCGGAGAATCTAACAGGAAACCACTCCACTATCTTCCACAAGTAGTAATAGCAGTTCACGGATAATAAAGAAAATGAAACTGCGGAGAGTTATGTTTGCCTATGTCCTGAAGGTAAATAGCAATATAAAGAATGTAAAGAATGTATTACTATATAAACCGAGGTGATGAAAAATTAGAGGCAGTTACCTGATAATATATAGCTTCTTCTTTCGCGTGAATAACGGTGGATACGTGATATCTACGACGCAAGGAAGTTGTTGTGTTGTTATATCAATCCAGGTACGTTTCTGAGTTATATTTGCTGGGTGTGGGCACAAGGAATTTCGTAAGATCTGTAACATGTCTCCTACACGTTCAATGGGGTTTAAACCTGGTAAGCTCGAGTGCCAATGCTTTTTCGGAAGTCAGCGCAGTTTTTCTAGAATTAGAAAAAATATAACCTGTGCAAAATGGCCTGAGGGCTGTGTTATCTTGCCTTAACAAGCTACCGGAAAACATGGTGAGACAGACAAATTTCATTCTTTTATTCGTACCTATTGCTAACTCCAAATGAATACAAAACTTGGTTGAGAAAACTAGTGTTGAAACGGCACTGATTGGACCAGGCGATATGGTACCAGTTTTCAACAGTTCAAGAGCAATGTTTTCTGGTTCGGGTGAGATGCAGTAATCAATGCTTTGGTGCCAATAATGGTACCCTTGTTGGCAGATGACTACGAAACCCCATAGTATAAAAAGTACATTGTAGAGTACATCCACTGATTGCTTGAGCGGTACCAACAATATAATTTGATGCAATGTTTCTCTTGGTCGGGTGGTCACCATTTTGTCAATTCGTTGGATGTCCCGTTCATGCATCACCTGCGGGCACCTGCAGTTTTCTCGTATTAGTGATGTCTATCCAGAAATCACATATTTCTGGCATACCCTCGCTGACGTTGCTCGATAAAAACCTAGATAAGTTGTCACTAAAATAAACTGTCCCATATTTCTTGCCTCAACAATCATTCTGGAGTCAAACTCTACTGAATCCCTTTCTCGTTCCACAGCTATACTTTCCAAGCTTCACTGCTTCTTTACCTATTATGTTACATCATTAAGCTGCGTGTTTACTGTGGTCCCTATACACATATATATATGTGTGTGTGTGTATGCGTGTGTATATGCGCGCATGCGCGTGTGTGTCGTCAGAGGGATGCTAAAACGGCGTAAGTGTACTTTTTGTGACAGGGAAAAAAACCTTTAAGTTAAAAATTCAGAAAAAAAAATTGTATATGATTTTTTTAAAATTGAAACCAGCCATCAAAATAAGTCTTTATATTAGAATATCGCCTATTACTACTAGTTTAACTATTCAGTAAAAAAAAAACAATAATGACATGTATTTCCAGTCTTTACTCGGTGTTCCTACATTTTTCCAGCTATTAATGGTTTACATTTCTCTTTCGCCAAATCCGCCTTTTCACCTCTCGGCTTTGTAAACACTTTGGAAGAATTTGCCATTATTATAACACAGGCACTGCTATTTGGTATCGCCAGTGCAAGGGAGTTTACTCTAGAATCACAGAATTTTACATAAATTACAGACAATAACACTTACTGCATTTTCTAAAAACTTTTATCTAAATATCGACTTATATACAAGTATATGCGTTAAGTATGTGTGTACGACCAAACGCTTACCGACACACATACTTTCAGCTAACACTTTCTTTATTATTTTTCCTTTTTCTTGTGCATTTTTCTTCTTTTTTTCATTTCCTGCAAACTCTTATCAGCACTTGTCGACTAATTAATATGTACTTTCTTTCAACGACTTTCTGCTAATCTTTTTTATGTCATTCACTTACCCTGCCATTGTTTTTATCATAATGTTAATCATAAAACTTCCGTTTGTGCTTTTTTTTCTTTTCATTTTTTTTTTTTTTTTGCTTTTCATTGTTACCAAATAGTAACATCACTAGAGTCTGTAATATTAAAATAAGCATGAGGTAAATATATATTGATATCAGTTATCACAAAACTTGAATTTCATTTGATTGAAATAACGTTTCCGGCTGGCACAGGGAATATAGGATTTTCTGATGCGTAGTTATTGCTCCTGTACTGTGTGGAGTTATGTTTCTCCTTATTTTAGATGAGAGAAATTGCTCAGCCCCGGAGATTCCAGTCCTGTGGCAGCACCTTCTTTGTTTCAGTAAGAGATGGGATCTGTGTAATACCAATGTTAGCGTGGCGATTGTCGCGGGCTGGAAAAAACAACAATTTTTGTCCTTGGTCCTTATGCATGTGTATGGCTCTCCCACATTAAAACGACATTGTGTCACATCATGCCTTAGTAGGGAGGCCGGCTAAATACACCTTTCCGGTCCTACGAAGCTGTTCTTGTCTTCGTATGAAGAAGAGAGCATAACTATAATTTTATAAGTTTACCTAACACTGGGGATCCGTCTTACAGTGTTTACCTTCCCACTGCACTCGTCAGTGATGTTTTTTATATACTAAATTTCAGCTAATACAAGGATCGAGGGCCACTCAATATAGAGTTTTACTGTTGAAATGGCTATGATGATTATGGTATCTGATATGAAAGAAAGAGGAGGTGATAGGAAATTAAGATTATGAGAATAAAGAGGATAGATAACGATTGACCCTTGTGACTTGAAGTGGTTCAGCGAAGTATCCACGCAGATGGGACTGGGAAATTTCTGAACATCCATACACAGAAGTGTGCAGGTCCACACATTAAACTAACATTGTGCCTTATTTACTATTTTGCGGTGGCAGGTAAATAAATCCCTTCCGTAAGACTAACATGCAGCACCAGATCTATGTTTGATCAATACAGCATAAACTGAAGCGTGCCTGATCCGTGTGAATCCGTTTCCCAGTAAACACCGCTACCTTTCACTAATGTCAAGTGGATATGCCCTGGCGCATGGGACTGAACATTGCCTGAACAGATCCACATGCAATAGTGTATTGGGCCCCAAATTAACTCGACCTTTTGTTATCTCAGCACCCATGGGAAAACGGATAGATAAAAATAGATGTCTTGCGTAAGTCTTATTTCAGTTGCCATGTTTCCGAGTACCCACAGTATATTATTTTCGCACTTCGAATATACGAGGTCTGTCCGGAAAGTATGCAGCTATTTTGAACATCTAGAGAACATGTTGCGCCTTTTTATCTAACCTGACAACCAATAACAGGGAACGTTTCAGCACATGTGCAGACACTCTCTTGTAGGATTATTCTGACGACAGTGAAACACCATTGAGTGAGTTTGTCTATTGTGTGAGAAGTCACGGAAAAGTTTTACTTGATATTTGGATATTCGTGCTCAGAATGAATTTAAAAAAGACTATATATGAATCAATGAGCCAATAACATCTTGGCACTGACGCTTCAAACTTCTCCTGGAATTCGTTGAAAGTAATATATATTCTGTAAAGCCTTTAACAAGTATAACACCTGTATATAGTTCGGGTTGCCATCAAAAGAAATCGGGGATCAATAGTTCAAAAATTGGATTATCTGGGAATTGCATGGACTACTCGGAAAGCAACCATCCATTTTTATGTATGTCGAATCTTCACGTCTGGTGCAGACGTTTTAACAAAACATCGCATCACTCTTCTCGGTACTTCTACACTTAAGATTTGGCTACTTGAATGTTTGGTGCTTACGGGCACATCACGCTGAAACACCGATTCCCATACGATCACGGATTTTAAGCAAAGTTCAGCTTGGTCAGTGCCTTGATGGATGACCACTTGGGAATACCAGGCGATGTAAGCTTTTATGTGCGAATGATGTTGCCTGTCATAGGGTCTTCCAGCAGCCACCCTCCTGACCCAGGGCAGCACTACCTCCTCAAGGCACTTGATATTGGTCTCCGTGTTGAGTTCCTGTGGGAAGATAATGGCTCGGAATAGTTAATCGGGGGGTGGGATTTCCAATTCAAGTTGTGTTCGTTATATTCACTTACACACAAATACTCTTGAGACAGGTATGAATCCACATATTTTCCTCGCAGCAATGGGTGAATTAGTAAGACTTGTATCACTAAAACCATTATTATCTCAAACATAAATAAATAAATTAAAAGTGAGTATAAAATATTTAGATTTCGGCATTAAATAATCGATAGAGTTTGATGTTCCGCTGAATGTCAGATTCTCAGCATTGATATTCGAGTAGTGATGGTCATATTCTCAGAGGTGTTATTGTGTACATGTTTTCCCATTCAATAGCACAGATTTGCTTGTCAATTAACTGACTTTAATAAGTCGGGCTAATGCACTGGGCATCTCTGTTCATGAGCGGGAATAGTGCGGAAGCATTATGGGCGTGTTAAAAGGGTTGTTTTATTTAAATTTAAAAGATGCGATAGCTTGGGAGTCATATTTTGATACTTAAAAACATCTTCATCAGAGGCTGTCTGAGTGGACAGGGTTACCGGAGCTGGAGTTTTTTGGTTTTTTGTTGTTTTTTATTTTTTTTGTTGTTGTTTTTTTTCTCAATGAGCCACATCTGCAAAGTTATGCGTTGCTTTTAACAAAACTTGTTATAATATTGCGCTCATTTGACTTGTATAACCTGGATGTCATGATGAGTATTTGGGCTTTTGTATATTTATATACGTATACCTCACTCAATAATAATAATAATAATGATATAAGGAGTTCAGAGGTAGTCTTTAGATATGTACATTAAATAAGCTTCGAAGTAAAAATTTGTAAAAAAATGACAACGCTTTCGATACATTCATAAATTAAAATATCTTTATTTATGCATAGTTTGAAAATTAAATACAGTTATGGTAAGAGTTTTAGTTTCGTTTCCTCGGGTGAGTTCAGCTTTCGATAAATGCTCTTTTAACCGGGTTCTGTGCTCGACCAAATTAAATTTAGTAACATCAGTATCTCTTGATACATTATCGATCTTCAAAAAGACCTGCCATATTTTTGAGTGCCACTATTTTATTTTTGTTCGATGTTGAGATTTTTTATCAAATATTTCACTTAAAAAATGTAAACCAACTGATATTATTCGTAAAGAAATGAAAGTTTTATAATCATAACCACAATTTCTTCTGATTTCGACTATTCACAGATTTTATATATATATATATATATATATATATATATATATATATATATACCTTCATACTGAAATCAGCTTAGCCCTAATGAAATAAAAAGAAATGAATAAAAAATATAATAATCTATTATATTCATCCAGTAAAAGATTAAGATAAAAGCTTAAGATTTAATATATATAATGTGATGTACATTCAGCCGTTTTGTCTTACATTAATATCGACCTCAATCTAGTGCTCAATTAAATTAAATCGTAATTGGTTTATAGTAATTTGCTCTGAAATTACAATTCTATTAACCGCTGACTAAGCGAATCAAAAAGCTACTTTCGCAAATAAAATTGTTTTGAATTTCCTACCAATGATAGGATTTGGTGTTCGAACATCGGTAAAATAAATTACAATGCTGACTTTCTAAACAGGCACGCATGTCCTTCCCACTTGAAAGATTACTTCTATTTGACCCTGTGCCATTCTTAACAAATACAAAAATAGTGCTGTTTTTACTTAACGGAAGTGTTAGTCTGTCTGCAATAAATTTAATTTGCCAATCACCGAGGAGACAAAGAAACCTTGACCTTACTCAGCATTATCGATAATGAAAAACCTGGACATGACTCGGTCTAGACAAGGGATTTGTCTTATAACGTGACAACCTCATGAATAGTCAATCAATGATGATCAATTTGAAGAAGATGAATGAGAATAAAAGCTTTATTTTTCATGTTTTTATCCTTCATTCTTTTTTTTCTTCTTCGTCTGTGTTGTTTCTATTCATTGATTCCACAAATGTCTTATTTTTTCTTTCTTTTTATTTTTATACTAATTCGAAACATAAAAAGGACTTTTGTGTGTATATCGAAAATAAGTTTGCCCCTACGGCAGTGTTTATGCTCAGATTCCCAATACTGAACCTTCCAACAAAAGATTGGCACAATACATTCTTTTGCAATGCCAAAAAATTAACCTACTTATGGGCATATACTGAAAATCAAAATATGTAATGTAAAAGCTACCTAAAACGTACTGATACTATTATATGTAAATGATTATGTACTCTCACGTGGCGTCGTGGTTTGTGTGCTCCTTGGACTAGGGCAGCTTTTATGCTGGTTGGAATTTTGTCTCTTGTCAGATCCAACCAAGCTAGACGTGTGAATGAGTAGAAACCAGAGAAAATAGTAAGTTACAGGAGCAAATATCAGTACCAAAAGTCTGGATCGGGTAACAGCTCTCCAGTTGCACTTCTTGTTTATTGAACTCACTTCCGATCTATTGCTTTTCAATCAACTTTGATCTTCAAAAATTTAAATGCAATGTCAATTCTTAATTCCTGATCTTTTGTTGTTCTCTCTCCTTAATAATAGTTTTTGCTTTTTCTCATATTCTTTCACACTCAGTAACCCCTTGCATCTTAGTAGCTTTATTGCCTTGCTTGAATCCATCTCTTCCCATTCCTTACCTTCAGCATTAGCTTAAATAAGCACTCAGTATAGGAAAAAGATAAATCTGATTTCAAACTATATGTAGCACTGGCAAAGCACAGAGTATACAACAATCAGCTACTGGTTTGTAGACTTCACTATGATCTCGATTGTGATCGTCGAGGCAGGTATAAAGTTCAAATCTATAAAAAACACTTCATTATCATTCAGACTTATTTAAACGACTAATGCAGAGAAATTTGGTTAGCATTTTTTTTTTTCAGGTGAACCATAATGAAAATAAATTTTTAATTAACAATACGGATCGCAAAATAGTCATTTCCTAGTATGAAATTTGGTATAAAAACATACGGAGACCAAATTTCATTATTTTTTCCTTCATTAAGCCAATGAACTCGCCATAAGTACTTAAGGAATCATTTTATTTTCACTATAACCTGTTTTAGCCTCTTATACGGTGCAGACAGGTACTTCAGCAAATAAATATTTATTTAATTGTTACTCGCCATTAAATAAATCTATAAAACTACTCCAATAGCTTTCAGGTTTACCTAAATTCTTAAAGCAGTGAAATTTCTGGGGGGTTTTTTTGTGGGGGGTCAGGTTACGTTGAGATTAATTACAATAAAGTTACATAGAAAAAGAAAACTTTTATTTGTACAGAGTTGGTCTTGTATACCAATTGCAACAGTCAATACAATTAAATTATTTCTTTTCATTTCCCCAACCTAGCAGTATGTTTATTTGATATGTCCTGCTTATTATTTTTCAAATAAATTTATCCTTAGCACGATTACTTTGTTCTAGAAATAAAAATACTCTGCTTATTTTAGCAGTTGAAAAATTTCACAAGAGTTCTAGACAGCAAAAATATACAATATTTTGCAAAAGAGTTCTAGACAGCAAAAATATACAATATTTTGCTTTGTACATTTGTTGTTGTTTTTATTTATTATGCATAAAATCTGCAATAACCTGTTTGTTTATTACTCGCCATGGAAAGTGTGACACTGAAATTCAAGTATTAAGAAACAGAAAAACATCATTAGAAACAAAGAAAAGAGTACTAAACTGTTACGTTATATCTGTCCTCCTATACGACAGTGAATGATATATAATCTCCTCAAAGATGAAGAAAAGACTTGAAGCAACAGAAATCTGGTTCTACAGAAGGATGATGAGGATACCATGGACCGAATATATGAGCAACGACAAAGTTCTACAGAAAAATGAAAACAAAAAGGAAACTTAAACTTAACATCACGAAGAGACAGTTGAAATTTCTAGTGCACATAATTAGGAAAGAGGACTTGGAAAATCTGATACATGAACGATTGAAGACAAGAGCAACAGAGCAAAACAACGCATAACATACTTAGTGACCTCGGGTAAATGGATTGTGGAACACGGTTTAGGATAAATAACAAAAAGACAACATTTATTAAGACCTACTGTGGACAGTAACATGGCACATAAAGAAGAAAAAGTAACTCCTCTTGTGCTGTGAACTGTTGTGGAAATTGATATGTTAAACTCTGGCAGTTAATCACATCACTTCGACAATCTCCTCCAATCGTAGGACAAAATTAAATTTCATTTTTTTAATTTGATTTCTGCTTCTTTTTCCCATACTTATTTTTTATTTATTTTATAAAAAAATATTATCTATTTATTTTTATTTATTTATTTATTTATTATATATTCATTTACTATTAATTATGTATTGCTATATTATTTATTTAATTATAAAAACTATATGGTCAAGTCAAAGATCGTTCCGCGCTGGTGGCACTGTGTAACCCAGTACAAACTGTCACGCATGACTTATAAAATAGATGAGCACCGTCAATTAACCTCTCTTCTTCCCCTGAGAAATCTGATGATTTCATAGGTCTTTTGGAAATATCTTAAAATCATTTACCTGGCCCATCTGGGTGGGGTGATTAAAATTTAATATAATGTGCCCAGTCCCCCGTGTGTAGGTTGAGGAATCCTCCTAGGTAATACCTCTATCTGAGAAGGGAGTTTGGTTCATTCTTTTACGCCTTAAACGTCACTGAAAGAGGAAATTAATGAGAAGGCTTGTACAATTTTTCTCCCTAGACCATTTACGTGTGTTCTGTCACTTTAAACTTGGTCTTGTGTCCCATTCCGTTTCAGATAAATGTCTACAATTTATTAGAAATAGATACGGCGCATTATTTTACATTCAGTGGATGGTGAATACATAAGGCCACTTTCCTCAACTCG